CTGCATGGTCCTGCATCCTAAACCTTCCATAACCTTCCCAAATAGTGCCACCCACTGGACACCCCGTGTCCATGGGGAACCTTCTCACTCAGCCTACTGCATTTCCCTTTCTTAGAAACTGCCCAGCCAGTTCCAAAGTGAGCGCCCCATACGATGGGTGTGTGAGAGCTCCAGGTTTCTACTCTTCCTCAAAATTTGCTCTGGGAATCTTATTTCAGGGACAGCTAATTAGTTTTAATTTGCATTCTCCTGATGGCAAATAATATTCAGTTGATATTTTGAAGTTCTTGTTGGTCATACTCATATCTCTCTTAGGAGATAATATCCAAATATTTGCCTAATTTTTCATATTGTTGAGTTTTACATGGATCTGGTTTATATCTTAGACACATGCCATATGCACAATTTACACATATGCTAACACATTGCATATGCAATATATTATGTAGTATACTTGCTCATATTACTAATATAATGTCTTAGTTGTTTTTCTGTTGCTGTGGAGAGACAACATGAACAAGGAAACACAGAAAAAGGTGTGATGAAAACTTTCAACTTCAGAGAGTTAGTCCACAACCATCATGTCTGGGAAGCAGACATGGCCTGGAGCAATGGCTGAGAACTTACATGCTGAGGTATAACCACAAGGCTGCATGAGAGAGCAAACTGGGAATGGATGGGCCTTTTAAACATTAAAGCCACCTCCAACAAGGCCACACCTCCAAATCCTTTGCAAACAGTTCCAACAACTGAGAGCCAAGTATTCAAATATATGAACCTATGGGGGCCATTCTCATTAAAACCACCACATACAACTACATCTATGACTACACGATACATATAATACATAAGAATGTAGCTATTTTCAGAGTTGTTACATTGAAAACAAAGCAATTCATTTTTTCTCTAGTATTCATAAGGATTTTAACCAACATCAACAGTAAATATTACTATTTTGGAAACCTACAGGGCCTTACTGCCAACCCAGAAGAAAGGCAATGAATTCATGATCCTCCTGTTGTGGCCTCAGGAGGTCTGGGATTACAGGCATGCTTTGGAGTACAGCAAAGGCAAGGGATTTCCCTCTCTCCTTACTTGCAACAGGATTCTTGTCTCCCAAGGGTGACTCCCGAGTATCCCCTGAGATGGACACAAGGATTCTGGTGGAGGCTTAATCCCACAGTACATGCTCTGTATCCACGAGAACATCCACAGACTTCCTTATCCACAATTCACAATGGAGAAACTTCTTTTTGATCGGTGAATGGAGGCTGCTTTCAGAGACAGATCAGCTTCTCCATTTCCCAACTAGCCTGCCACTTACCCCATAGTGCCCACCACTTCCCACTCTAAAGTCAGGCTCACTGAGGCTGAGAGATTTTTGCTTTGACTTTTGCGTATCTGAAGGCTTTGAACCAGCAGAAGCAAACTGTGGTCAGAGCATAATATATGAGAGAAACTGTTTTCAATTTAATAAGTAAATAAAAGCTCAGAGTTGACAGCATTTAACTTCCATGTCACTCTGATCTATGTAAGGTAATTGGGGATGTCTAAGCTTGTGTCCCTTTCCTGAAAGCCACAGAACCACTCCACCCCACCCCCAAACCCCTGCCGCCAAAGGCCAGACACAGTTAGAACCATTGCAATGGGGGGATTGCACATGGGGATTCACTGGATATCTCTGTAGAGCAAAGGGTCTCAGGTTCTGAACCTATGGGTTGTGACCCCTTTGTAGTCTAACAATCTTTGCACAGAGGTCACATACCAGATACTTACATTGCAATTCATAACAATAACTAAAACACAGTAATAAAGAAGGAACAAAATGATTTCATGGTTGGGGGCTACCACAACATAACTGTTATTGAAGGGCCACAGCATTGAAAGCAATTATGATGGGTCTCTACTGGATTTGGTCTTGTGTTAGATGATTTTATTTGGTCTCCTCTGCATTGGACCTGTCGGGAATAGGCACTGAAAGACGTGGAGAGTGGCCCAGTCAATGAGTGCCCGCTGAACAAGAATGAGTAGTAGTCAATGTTGGAGACCCGGCACCCACATAAAAAATCAAGTGTGGCAATATGCACCTAATCCCAGCACTGGAGAGGATGAGATGGGAGCAGGACTCTTGGGCCAGCCATGCAAGGTTCAATGAGAAATCCTGTCTAAAAAAATAAGATGAGAGAGACAGAAGACAACACCTGACACCAGCCTCTGACTTCCACACATGTGTGAACATGCACACACACACACACACACACACACTCACAAACTACAAAAAAGCAATTAACAAAAACTGAGAAGTGAGTCTGTGATTGGAAAAGCCATCTTATCTGTACACAGAAAAAAACTGAAGCTGAAACTGTAACTGGTGATGAGTCAGCCTACTCATATTAGCCAGAACTAGGGAGTACTGGACACCAGTGCTTTGACAGTGCCCACGCCTCTGGCGCACACTGAGCAGCGATCACACACTTGCCCCACCACAGTAGAATGTGTGGATCTGGAGCTGAGGCTTATGCTCTGCAAGCAAAGCCAAACCCCAATGGCAAATTCCACACCAGCTTCTAGCCACCCCAATGCCCAGCTCATGGTGCAAAGCCTGCACCTAGCTGTCAGCTTTATCAGCTGTAAGCAAGCAAAACCAGGAAATATCACCTAATCAGAGCGAGCATACACAGCCTCCCCCTGGAACTGACATTTTTACTGACTCTAAAATGCAAAGGCCTTTTTCACCACAGTCCCAGGGGCTCATTTAGCCTTTTCTTGTACTTTCTTCTCCTCATGACGCTATTATTTCTTACAAATGAATTATGCTTGAGAAGCAAGAGTTGAAGCTGACTTCCCATACTATTCCCAATCTTCTTGCAGTGTGAGAACACCCCACGGTTCTGGAACTTCAGTGGGTAATGTCAAAAATTCTTGGTAAAATGTAATCTTGAGAACACCATTTCAAGCGGTAAATGCTGAACAATGCACATTTTCGAAATGTAATCAAAATGTTTAAAGACGGCACAGATTGGCAAGTTAAAAATAACTCTTCAACAATCATATACACAGTATAATATTTAAAAAAATTAATAGTCAGGGATGAGATGATAGTTCATTAATAGTCAGGGATGGGATGATAGTTCAGTCAGTGAAGTGATTGCTTTGAAAGCATGATGAGCTGAGTTCAATTCCCAGTACCCACATAAAATAAAACCACACAGCTCATGGTGCAATAGTATCACACACACACACACACACACACACACACACACAGGAGGAGGAACAGTCAATCCCTGAGGACTGCTGGATAGCATGCCTAGTGAACCATGAGTTCAAGTCAGAGATCCTCTTTCAAAACATTAGGTTGACAGTTCCTTAGGAAAGAGCCAGTTCACCTATGGCCTTCACACAGTGACACTTCACAAACACAGATAAACAGAAAAAAAAAAACGTTTTCAAGTCAGGGAGTGAGTTTAATTAGTGTCTGCGGGAAAGGTGAGAAGACAATTATTTTCTCTTCTATTTCAAAGTTTAATGGTGAAAATGAAACAGAGAGGTTCTACCCCTGCAGAATTAATACATTGGTTGATAAGCTTACTTTAAAGGCTGGTGGAATTCCAGATCTGAAAAAGACCTTGGAGGTTAGAGGTTGGAGCCTTGAGTCAATGGATGAACGCACCCCCAGCTATGCTATTGTATTTACAATAGAGAACTCAGCAAGATCCACCCACTGTCTGCTAAATGGAAGTTGTCATTCCTCCTGAGAAACCTAAACAATAACCCATACAGCCCTTAGAGATTGTAAGACTGTGCCTTGAACACCGTTGGTGATCGTTTGCTCCTTATGCATGAGAATATCAATTCCTGGTGTATTTACAGTTTTAATATATGGTATTGAGGTGATATCTGATAAAAGGTTGTTAGATGAGTCATCAAAGGATAATGAGATTGGAGTGCATCTTGAATACCACTTATTTCTTGGATTTTAGTTACATCCGAAGTTGGATTCAGCATCCACAAATTTCTACTGGGACCGTTAACTTGCCAGATGTACTGAGTGTGTCAGCATGGTGGGGTGAACATTACTGGGTTGGTTGTTGTTGTTGTTGTTGTTGTTGTTGCTATTTGTGCTTGTTTGTTTTGCTAGTTTGCCTGTTTATGTTGGTTATTTTCAGAATATTTCATAAAAAAACATATTCTCCACCACTTTAAGCCAAGTAAAATTTCACTATTGGTGAAAAAATGAGGACTCTCATCTCTGACCAAAAAACAATCTTTAAAGTACATTAAGGACAGATCCAAAAATACTGCAAATGAATTCAAAGACCCAAGCATCTAAGTCTGCATAATAGATTTCTTTTATAGATACGGAGTCTGACTCTAGTAGGAATGCAAATCAGTTTCATACACACGTATAAAAATGTCTGCATAATTACAGGGTACCAAATCAAGCGCACGGCATCTATGAACTACACTGAGAACTCGGGGGCTAATTATTCTCTTGGATATTAGAGGGCACCAAGGGCACCACAACCTGTTTCCTTCCCACAGCGATAGGTGGTGGTGGGTGTTGAGAAGTTAAAACAATTTCCAGTTTCACATCTTCTGTGCTGCTAACATTTGCCCACATGTCTTATATGAGCAGGCATGCTTTTAAAAGCCGTGCGCAAATTCTACTCATTAAAAGAGATACACACGGTTGAAAATGCAACTCTAAAAGCAGAAGCCTAGGAGAGATCGGCAGCCGGGGAATGGCGCATGTGCACCATCCGATGCTTTTATTCTCCGCCTTTCTGCTTTGTCCCTTTAAAGATTATAAGGTATTTCCGACTTGAAAGAGATAGGTATTTCTAACTTGATGAGACATTGTGTGTGTGTGTGTGTGTGTGTGTGTGTGTGTGTGTGTGTGTGTGTGTGTTAATTTTATGATTAATAAAAGAAAAGGTGTCGATATTCCTTTGGACTGTTTATTGTGGTTGATATGCAGCTAACATGAAGGGTACATTTAGTCACTCTCTGATGTACCAAACGTAAATGAACAGCGAAGAAGGTTCAAGGTTCGCACCCGCTTTGGAAAACAGAGGAACACGACGATAACCTGCAGAAGAGGAATTGTGTCGAATTAGAAATAACAAACCAAGAGTGATGGCCTCAACCTTGCTGTTGAGGAAGAAGACATTATCCGCTAAGTGTCTTCACATAGTTACCACTATGGTTATGGAGTTACAGTTATTTTCAACCTACTAAGTTACTTTTCCATAAAAACGAAGCATTCTAGCTTCTGTTCTAACTTCCAGAATTCTGTGTGTCCCCGTGATGAGCCCATAACCTCATGGGTCTCCTCTTACCAGAGCATCATGATCCAAAATTAGCCATCACCCTTCTGGTTCAAAAAGACCCTGCCTGCTTCCTGGCATTCCTCAGCTGGTGATGGAAAAGTGAGCATCCTGAGAGGAAGCCATTAAGTAAACCACTCTGGGAAGGCTTCTGCACCATGCTAGCATCCCAGAAAATGATCCAAAAAGGTCTGACCCCCAAGTTCCCAGGGCTTTGCTCGGGCAGAAGAATGGGCCAGTGTTTCCCAACTCTGTCTTGTTCTTGTCCTTGACATCTTCTTGTAACCATGACTACATTTCACTGAGAGGGAAGAATTATGATCCTGGCAAAGAAGCACACATGACAAGTTTCTCTAGCATCCTAGCATACAACATCCCACACCACTTTCCACACAAAGAGCACATCTCTGCAGTTCCACAGAAGAAAGTATGCTGGTTCACTTAAAACTCCCCTCATATCCTACTGATGTAGATGGAGAGATGGAGAAATTTGATATGATCAAAGTGGGGCTTTGGTAGAGGTACATATCAATGACAATAAAAATCATCTCATATTTGATAACATTACCTTTGTTCATGCAAAGAACTGGTAGCGTGTACTGCCCGATAAATTCATTGCCTGCTATAAAGCCTTGATTTTCAACAACAAAACGTATCAGTGCCAGTTCTGGTACTTGAATAATAAATGTAAACGTTTCATTCCACCTTGGACTAAAAGCTGAAATGCAAAGAAAGGTATGCAAGAGTATCACAGAAATTTCCTTGAAGGAAAATGAAATGATAAAAGATTTCCACAGTTTTCCTTTCTGAGACTTGGGCAGTAAACAACAACAATAATAATTTGGATTTTAGAGCACTTAAATGTTTAACGTAGTTGAAGGGTAGAAAATCTTATAACAACAAAGACACTGGGTTTTGAAAACACTATATAGACTGAAACCCCATCTAGGTTAACAGGTGAGATTTCTCTCTGACTAAATTACTTTCAAATTAATAAGCTTTTTCTAAGAATTTTTTTCTTAAAAAGTTATTTTTTGTAAGTAGTGGAAGAACTCACAATTTTTCTTAACAACACGGGTCTGCTGTTTCACATGGTCATTTGGAACACCGTAGACTTCTATGATCACTAATATGTTGCTAGAGGACAAGTTGATGGGCAACTGGATCCCACTGATGAGCTGTGCAAACACAGATGAGCAGGAGAGCTTAGCTGAGCAGGAAACGGCATCCCTACTTGACCCCAGTCAGATGGCATGGTCCCCAAAACTAAGACTCTACATCAGCTGCTAAAACACAAACTGCAGTAATCTTACATTTTGTACCTTTCATCACCAAGTATCACTAGATATTGACCAAGAATGTCACTCTGCTCAAGCGCATCTATAGTGGAATCCACAATGTCCAAGGTTTGTGGTGTATTTGCATATTTTTAATTTTTCCCCTCAATATATGTTTTCATTTAAATTAGAAACATGAATGCTTCACATGTCATTCCCAGCTCCCTCTCCCACCCTCCTCCCTTGTCCCTCAACCAGCCTCCCTCCAGCCTTCCACCCAATCCCCACATCATTCCCCAGGGAGGGTGAGGCCCTCCTTGGGGGGACCTCCAGAATCTGTCATTTCATCCAGGGCAGGACCTAGGCCCTTTCCCATGTGTTCAGGCTGAGAGAGTATCACTCTATGTCAAAGTTCATTCGTACGCCATGGTAAGTATGATCTGCTACCCAAGGCTCCAGAGATTTCTGAGGCCTCTCTTTTTCACTAGTTCAGTATTACTGCTTTGCTCTGATAATTTGCACTGTCTTTAAATTCATGTTATATATACTGAAATACTTCAAAGAAATGTGAGATTACTTTTCAAATATAAAACATTATATTATGTCATTTTTCATGATAGCATTTTCTAAAAGAATTTACATTGGAATCATTTATACAGTTTGATATTATCCACTGATATCCACATTACCATAACAAGAAACTGGAGCTCGACAAGATCAGTTGTCTCATAGGCATGCACATTAGGGCCAGGAATCAAAAACATACTTTAAAAAGTAACTAGCTACATTTCTATTTAGATTTTTTATTTTCCCAGATAATTATTGAAGCAAAATTGTGTTTTCATTTTTAAGAACAAAGTGAGCATAGAACAATTTGCAATGTGTTGATTTGAGGTGAGGAAATGAAAGTTACAAATCTAAAACCTTAGCCCAGGACATAGCTACTGCTAGCAACTGTGCACCTCCCACATGCCTACTGAGTCCTCTTCCAGTTTCCTAAGGCCTCCTCTCTGCAGTCATCTGTCTACCAGAGCCCACTTGAGATACAGCAGCTGGGCGTGGAGAGCCACGGCCCAAGGCAGTAGAGGAAAGGGCTAGCTAGAGATGTGCTGACTTTAGGGTGATGTCTCTTTGCACAGACATTAGCACAGTTTCAGAAGGCTAGAGATAGAGCGCTACAACTTTCATAGAAGAAAACAGTTGAATCAACCCTCTTACAACTAATCCTCTCTTGAACATTGTCTATGTCTGCATTGAAAGAGGAAACTTGACAAGCAAAACAAAAAACAAAGACGTAACGAACAAACAGCTTCAGATTCTCGAGTCCCAGGACAGAAGTAAAAAGCAGAGTAAAAAAAAAAAAAAACACTAAAATTATGTTCAAACAACTCAAAGATGACAAAAGCAAAGTGCTGAATAAATGCTTAAGTCAATCAAAGTTCTAAAAATTCTATTCAATACAAACAGAACAGAAAAAATAATTCTAGAAATGGAAAGCAGTAAGAAAAAAAACAGTAGGATAGGTCAGCTGGAAAACAGCGAGTTGGAGTTGGAAGACAAAGTAGAGGAAATGCATTGCTCAGTAACAGTGAAGAAAAATGTAAAATATATATGCTTTAGAACAGGTCACCATTTAAAAAAACAAGTTTTGAATTATGGTTCCAAACCAAGAAGAAAGCCATAACAAAGGCATCAAGAATATCTTCAATAAAATCAGAGAAAATTGCCTAAACCTAGAGAAAGAGATACCCATATAAAAGGCCTACACAGCACTAAATAAGTCCAAAGAACAGTTTTCTCATTACATATTATCATTAAAAATAGAGAATGAAGAAAAGTTATTGAAAACTGCAAGAGAGAAAGGTCAAGTCATTTGTCAAGCCAGTATCTCCAGAATAACAATTGACTTTTCAACAAAACCTCATAAAGACAGAAGGGTTGGGAAAGATGTATTCCAATTTCTGAAAGACCACAACTGTCAATCCAGACTATTATACGCAGCAAAACTATCCATTAGAATGAAGGAGAAATAACAACTTATCATGAAAAAATATGTATTTTTGACAACTAATCCAGCTCTACAGAGGATACAAGAATGAATGCTTCAGTATGAAGAGAATGATAAAAGCACCAAAGACCACAGGGAATAAGTAAGCACGTCCAAGACAGTTAATCAGAAGTCTAAGAAAACACTACAAAACCAACGATGATACACATCTCTCAATAACATAGCTCCAGATACTAATGTACTCAATTCCCCAGCAGAAAGATGCATCCCAGCAGAATGGATGACAAAATAGGGCCCATCTTTTCCTGTCCCCAAGAAATTCACCTTATCATCAAAAATAGGAACCACTGTATAGTAAAAGGATGGAAAAGGGTTATTCCAAGCAAAGAGAAGTAGTAAATAAGCAGGTGTAGCTATAGCTATTTTAATATCTGACAATAAATTTCAAATCAAAACAAATTAAGCAGAGAGTATAAGGAAAGTCACTTCATATTCATTAAGGAACAACCCACAAAGAGGACAGTACAAATCTTAACATACACATCAAATATAGGTGCACCCAAATTCACTGAAGACATGTACTATACTTAAAACCATAAATAAACCCAATGCACTGATTATGACCAGATATAATTCCAACTTTCACCAGTAGACAGGTAAACTTAGCAAAAAATAGAGAAACTGGGTATCATAGATCAAATAGACTTGACACGTCTATGTACTATTGTACTCAAACACTAACGAATACACATTCTTCTCAGCAGTCAGTGGCATTTTCTTCAAAAACAATGATATTTTAGGACTTAGTTAAGTCTCAATAAATATGAGAAAGTTGAAATAATATCCTGCAGGCTTTCAGACGTTGATGTAAAAACTGAGCTCCTGACTTCTGTTAGAGAAGAAAGTTGGGCATATACTTCAACCTATAAGCACAATGTACTTTCTAAACAGGATTCTGACAAGACAGACATCAAGGCAGACAACTGATGAATGAGACCTCATGAAACTAAAAGGCTCCCACATAGCGAAGGGCATCATCGCTAAACTGAAGAGACAGCCTACAGAATGGGAAAAAATTCTTTATCAGCTATATACCTGACATAGTTAGTGTCTACAAAAAGGTTATAAAACAAGAAAACAAAACAAACAAAAAACAACTAAACATCACAAAAACAACCAATTAAAAGATGTGGCATAGAACTAAATAGGGAGAATTATATTACAGTAGATTGAATTCTCAAGCAATAAAAAACGTCATAAGCCTAAAGATACAGCTTAAAAAGATAAGTATATGTTTGTATATAAATAATTACTCATAAAATAAAAAGAAAAAGGAGAGGGGCAGAATAGAGGACAGGAGGGAAAGGGAACAGGAAAGCTGCTGGTGTGTAACTTCTCCTGTGCTAAACCCACATGTTACGTCATCAACTATACACTATGGTGACTGAAACAGTGAGGGACCTATATTCAAGAGGCAGATTAATTAGCATAGTTAGACATCCACATGCTTGGGAACAATATTGTTTATAGATATGTACTGCATTACTCCCAAGTATGAGTGCTTGCCAGCTAATTATCAGCTATTCGGAAAAAGGGCCTTACCAAAATGGGGCCATTTCCATGCTAGTACACTCTATGTCAAAGAAAAGAAGAGGAGAGGAGAGGAGAGGAGAGGAGAGGAGAGGAGAGGAGAGGAGAGGAGAGGAGAGGAGAAGAGAAGAGAAGAGAAGAGAAGAGAAGAGAAGAGAAGAGAAGAGAAGAGAAGAGAAGAGAAGAGAAGAGAAGAGAACTAACTAGACCAAAACTCTCAGTTCACAGGTGACAGAATAAACTGGATGTGATAATTGTCTTCATAGAGGACTCCATGAATCTTACAGCAATTCCAGGCTTTTGGGTTTCCAAGTTGTACTCCCATAATGTTTAAGATTAAAATAACCAACTACAAGATAAGCAGGAGGAGAGGACTTGCTCACATGGTTGGGGTGTGCTTCTGTGATGAGTGACCATGGTGATTGCTTCCCTGGAGACTCACTAACCTGTCTGAGTCTAAGCCACCTCACATCTCAACATGAGATTCTTGGAATACACACCCTACACACCCAGAACGCTCACCAGCATCTCAGTGCACAAACTGCCTTGCCACTTCATTTCCAACAAGACAGCACAGATGCTCTGTACCATCCTCAGCATGCAACAGACACCGTCACTCATTCAATCAACTTCCATGGATGAGGCACGAGTTCTATGTCAGACCCTGTCAACTTGGCTTGAACAAAGCACAGCTCTTGTCCTTAAATATTTCTGAGATAACTGGGGGATAAGGACTAGAAAATGATTATAATGCAGTGGCTGAGTGCTATAATATGTACTCGTGTAGGCTGCAACAGAAAAAACAGAAGGGACATGTTAAAAAAAAAAGAGGAGAAAAATGAAGAATAAAAGGCTTCCAAGAACTAGTGATTTTTCAAGTTATGAGTCAGTCAGGTTATATCATCTAAATTTAATCCCAGCACTCAAGAAGCAGAAGCAGGCAGATCTATCGGAGTTCAAGGCCAGCCTGCTGACCTAGATAGCAAGTTCCAAGACAACTATGGTTACACAGTAAGATCCTGTCTGAAGAAGAGGGAGAGGGAGAGAGAGAGGGAGAGGGAGAGGGAGAGGGAGAGGGAGAGGGAGAGGGAGAGGGAGAGGGAGAGAGAGAGAGAGAGAGAGAGAGAGAGAGAGAGAGAGAGAGAGAGAGAGAGAGAGAGAGAGAGAGAGAGAGACCGGTAAAGAGAGGATAGAAGAGAGAGAGAGACAAAGACACAGAGAGAATTCAACAGGAAAAGCAAATGACAAGTGGGGGGAAAGAAGACTGAAATTCAATCAAGTAAATCGTGGTCATGGCTCTAGAATAAGTTAAGGCTAGACATGATGAGACATGGGTTTAGAGAAGCAAGCTAAGCCTTGACTAGGAAAGTAACTGGTGGCCAGAAAGGACTGGTAAGCACTAACAAGATCACCATGTTAGCAAAATCTCAAGTTTTCTTTTCAACATAAAGAGGAGTGACTAGGAGGACGGAGACAGGCTGTTTTGCTCTAGCTTCTGTGTTGTGATTAAAATGCCCTGACAGAAGTTACCTGAAAGAAGAAATTCTTCTTCAGCTTACACTGTGTGGAAGTCAAGGCAGGAACTTGAAGCAACTGTCCACACCCACAGTCAAGAGCATAGAAAACCAAGGCGTGCAGGCTTGCTGCTCCATTTATCTTCTCCTTTACCCACCCCAGGACCCAGCATGGGGAGCGATGCCATACACTTTCAGACTGCATCTTCCTAAGAAGCCCAATAAGAAAATCTCCTACTTGGGACTGGAGAGATGGATCGGTAGTTAAGAGTACTTACTGTCCTCCCAGAGAAACAAAGTTGGATTCATTCGCAGGACTTGCTTGGCACCTTACAACCTGTAACTCCAGATCCAAAGGAACCAACATCCTCTCCCAGCCCCCATGAGCACCAGGCTTGTGCAAGGTGCGCAGACATACACACACACAAGACACCCATACACGTAATATAATAAAAAAATTAAAGAAAATCTCTCATAGACACACCCACCTAATCCAAACAATCTCTCACTGAGACTGTCTTCCCTGGTGATCCCAGACTAGGTCAAGTTGGCAGTTAAAATTAACCCTCAAGTGGATTGATTAGACAAGTTTTAAAAGCTGAAAGAAGAGACATAATGATAGATAATAAATTCCTGAAATAGGACAGCAGCAAAGGTAGCTTCACTATGGGAATCGATAATGAAGACTAGGAGTGGGATGGATAGAATTTAAAGATGGGTGACTTAGGAAGTGAGGGAGCCGTAGAATACCTTGCTGTTTTCTGGTCTAAACTGGTTAAAGCATTCATGACATATCAACAAAATGTTTAAAGATAGGTTGACTAGGAAAGGATGCTCAGGTTTCAAATTTTTGACGAATACTGATTTAATAGGTAAATCTTTGTCATACCGTTTAAGACATACTTTGGATTCTAAAAAAAATGAGTTCAGGTTAAATATTTGAGCCTTAATGGTGGTTAAAAATCATTAACCTTTGCATAAGAAGTTTGAAAAGAACCATTCATTTGGAACAAGGGTTAGGTAAAATATAAATATTTTAGGAGTGCGTAGAGAAAGAGGAATCCATCAATGAAAGTGAAACAGAGCCCCATGGCAGATAAATGAAGAATGCAGGGCTAGAAAATAGAAGAGACTTGAGTGTGCCATGAAGGGCCCTTAGGAGTGCCTAATCTACCTTTCCCCACTGAATCAACTATTTAAAAGATACAGGAAGAAGGCTGATGTGACAATCCCCTTGTAAATGAAGAACAGTGATCAATAATACTTCTCCAGATGCCAGGAAAGGTGTCAGCTAATCAATATTGGCTGAACCTACTGTAGGTGGTTTCTAGGTGTCACCTTTGACTGGATTATAGTGTCACAGCACCCTAATGGTAGGAGCAAAGCCAGCTGTGGACCTCACCAGCACTGCTTCCTGCCAGACCCAAAGCATGCCATCCAAGGACTTCTTTGCTCTATTCTCCTCTCAAGATGATTTTTGGAAAGTAGCAATCAAATCTCCCATTCTTCACCGTGATTGGATGACTAGGATCCAAAGCAGGTGACAGTGGCTTCACAAGCCCTGCACTGCTATGACCATGTGGACAGAGATGAGACAGGAGTTGTGTGTGAAACATATTCTGGGGACTCTCGGGTTTCAGGCGCTACAGCAACGAGTGAAGATCAAAGAGGCCACTCAACATCTGGTATAGAGTCCCAACATGGAACATGTGGCTGGAAACAGCAAGATCACTGACCCAAATTCCAGAGGAGCATCTGAGATGTGCCTATGGTTGTAGGAACAACCAGTTAACGGAAGGAGGCACCAAAGAGGCCGTACCCACACCATTCATTAGCAAACAAATCCTTCACTCGCAGACTGTATAGGTGGAGATGCAGCCTAAAGGCGTGGCTTTTAGTTACGTGCAGCCAGACCTTTATAAACGTTCAAGTGGCATCTCACAAAGTAAATAAACGTTACATTTAGGTCATAGAGAATAAAGAAAAGTCTGTGCTAATGGAGACAACTGCTTTTGCTCCCAGTGAAATCGTACAGGAAGCAATAAAGCAAAAGATGAAATAATGAGGCCGGAGAACTGGATGGGGCGGGATGCAGACAGAAAGGAAGAGGAAGCAACATGAGCTAACTGGCAATTGGAGACTGAAAGTATAGGAGAAAAATGCATATCTGTATTAAAATGAAAATAAAACTGGATACGGGATTCTGAAAGGATGGCTCAACAGTTAAAAGTGTGCACTGCCGAGGATGAGAGTTCAGTTTCCACAGCGTGAATCCACAAGAGTCTGATAAAGGGTCCCAAGAATTTATTTAGGTATAAAATAGGGGTGAACAATCAATGATAAAGAACAGGTCAGACACCACTGCTGATCCAGCTGATCCAGAGGCTCACAACTCTCTGTACCTCCAGCTCCAGGGGGGATCTGATGCCCTCTTCTGAACTCCACAGGTACACACACACACACACACACACACACACACACACACACACACAACGAAATAAATCTAAAAACTGAAATATAGATTTTTTTGAATCATCAATGTAGCAAACAAATGTTAAAAGTTCTCCCAAACTACAGGAAAGAAATTGAGAGCATTCTAAGCTTATTAACACATTAATGAACATGGAAGATGGATGCAGAAGAAAGTATATACATGCCTTCCTTTATTTCCAATCCAACAGAGCTCAGAGACTTAGCAGGGAAAGAATAATGCATTACAAAAGTAAGAGATTAATGAGAAGGAAATGGCTCCTAGAATTTGCTGGTGAAATTCTTTAAAGTTAAGGGACAAAAAGTGGCATGTCCACAAGGTCATCAGAGGGCTGAAATCAAACCACTCCATCACAGTGCTAAATGGCGAAATACAATGGAATAATATAAATAGATCTCTCGGAGGAAAAGGTTTTAGCCTCAATATTTCCTTTCCCTGGCAGAAAATCATTCATGTGAAAATGCACAGAAAGACATTTTTTTTCAGACACAGAGAAAGATGCTAAAGTGGCACCCATTAATTGTATCTAAAACGATTAACAGGAATTTCAGGGGCATTAGAGCAAATCAGTAGAATTGAAATATTAATGTACATGATCAAGTTTACTTAACAACCAGCAAATAAAAGAACAAACCAATAATCTTACTCGTACTGTGAGGGTAATCGGGTGGCCATCTCCTTCTGGTTTATTTGGGTTAAAGCTCAGGGTTGTATCTCTTAGAAAGTCTGGTTTCAATAAATATCCAGAGCCTCCATTGTCTAAAAATTTCCCATTCTGCAAATCCATAGGCAGTCCAGGGGTTTGGAAGTTCAAGGCCACTGTGAGAAAGAAGTAAAGCAATATTGTTAGGAAACAGGGAGTGTAGCTAAAGACACTCAATTCAGTGTGTGTCAAAATCATAACACATTGCATATCTTCATGTATTGTAAGAATATGGATTGTTTTTCTAATAATTCATGGTTTTTAAATATTTTATTGCTGTCTCACTATGGTGACTTGAATGAAAATCGTCTTCATAGGGAGTGGTAATGTTAGGAGGTGTGGTCTCGTTGGGGGAAATGTGTCATGTAGGGTAGGCTTTGAGGCTTGAAATACTCAAGCAAGTTCCAGTATCTCTCCCCCATATCTATCCCTCTCTCTCTCAATCTCTCTCTGTCATTCTCTCTCTCTGTCATTCTCTCTCTCTCTCTCTCAATTTCTCTCTGTCATTCTCTCTCTCTGTCACTCTCTCTCTCTGTCATTCTCTCTCTCTCTCTCTCTCTCTCTCTTTCTCTCTCTCTCTCCCTCTCTCTCTCTCTCTGCTGTCTGAAGATCCAGAGGTAGAACTCTCAGCTACCACTTCAAGACCATGTCTACCTGTATGCTGTCTTGTTTCCTGCCATAATGATAAGGGACTAAACCTCTGAACTGTAGGCCAGCACCAAGTAAATGCTTTGCTTTCTAAGAGTTGTTAGAATACAACAGTAGAAACCCTAAGACACTGTCTATGTCAATGTGTATCTGTGAACTGTAACATAATTTGTAAATTAAATTATTATATAGTTGTTGGTTGGTGGGTTTGTTTGTGAGACAGGGTATCATATAGCCCAGGCTGGCCTCAAACACTCCATGTAAGAGTGTTTTACCTCTCCCCTGTTCCCAGTACTGACATTACTCCCACTTCCAGGGCCTCATGATATCCATCTACTATGAATAAGGAAATGAAAGAGGCATTCAGAATGGATTATAGAAAAGTAATGCCTGTGTCAGATAGCATTCAACAATTATAAAAATAAAGAAAATAGGGCTAGGGATCTTACTCAGGGCTGGAATGTTTTCTTACTCTGTGTTTGGCCTTGCATTCAATCATCAGTACTGCTGTATACAACTAAGGAAGAGAAGGCACCAACTATATCACAAATATCCAGGTCCTGGAGATAGACATGTTCCCTAAGAAGGTGAGAAAATGGTATAGATAGTGCCTGATAAGTGGTCCTGATCTAACCCTACTCCGCATCTCCTCGTGCCTACATGGAACCTCTCCAGGAAATGGAAGAATGAGCACTGACAAACTTTGACACTGAGTGGCTGGTGCTGGTGCCATACATACTCCTTGGGTAGGAACAAGGAGATTCTGGCATGGAGAAATAGCCATCCCTGTGACCCTACTCACCTTCTGAGGCTCATGCAAAGTTAAAATGATGAACACTTGGTTAGAAGAGGACTTGAGCCAATCGATGACCTTGATCTTCCATTCCCCTCCCGTCCATCTGGTCTCCCTGTCCCTCAAGCACACATGTCCCAGTATCAAGTCTTGTGAATTAGTCTAGGCCCTTCCAACCCTCTCAAGTCGTTTGGGGAAAACTTTAGCCCTGGAAACCAGTGATTTACCGTGAGTACCTAATCCCACTTCCAGGGCCAAAACATTTTCCGGAAATTTCCATTAACTCACATGATGAATTCATTCCTACTTACATTTGCAGCTAGCCCATTATCCTACTTAACCTACCCATCTGACAGCCTACATTCCAAAACTCCTGAGGATCAAAATTGGAAGAGTCTGCTCTGGTCAGCTTGGGGTAAATTCTGGTGATGAATGCCCTGGTGTGGAAAATGAACTCAAGGGCTACAAAAAAAAGGAAAAAGTAACACAGTTTTGTCAAGTATTTGTAATCAGTTAAACAAAGCTATTTTGTATATTACTCATATATGTAAAATAACTCTATGCATATATTAGACAAAAAACATTTTTCAATCACAAAATAAAAGAGAATCCTATGCATTTATGCTTATAGAATCATGCATAAACTTGTATGATAATTTCATGGAACGCCGGGTGTTGATGGCGCATGCCTTTAATCCCAGCATTCGGGAGGCAGAGGCAGGTGGATCTTTATGAGTTCAAGGCCAGCCTGGTCTACAAAGCGAGTTCCAGGATAGTCTCCAAAGCAATACAGAGAAACCTAGTCTTGAAAAAACAAACAAAATAATAATAATAATTTCATGGAACAACTTACATAAATTGAGTATATACTTGAGGAACTATTTCACTTTCACGCATCCAAATTAATTCCACGTTAATACAATTATGCACACAATTCCAAAACAAAAATGTTTTTAAGTAGTGTATTCACCAGTTTGATTCTTTAACCTCAAGTTTCACATTAAGATGGACTTGCATGTAAGTCATATGAAGCTATGTATTTCTAGTTAAATTAAGTTAGTGATCTTTTCTCATATTTAAAGAGTTTATAGGGAGCCTTGAATCACCTGGCTTAGCCCCCAGCCCTCTTGTCCAGCATCTTTCTCTCAAGTGTATCCAACCTCTGCTGTCAACCTTCCTTTGTCAATATCACTACTTCCCAAAACTTTTATCTCTAATATCTCTCGCTGAGCTATCTACTTGCTTGCAGCATGTACATATGTATGCATGCATATGTAATCTATTCATACTCTGTGTGTTTCTGCTTGTCTGTACTCTAAGTGATTAGGTGTCTAAAAACTAGTTTGTATCCTTCTCCATTTGATTGACATCCTTAAGTTTTTTGAACATGTGTCATATTTTCTTCAATGTATTTCTTCTTTCACTGAACAGATCTCATTGCCACAACCATTTCTGACAATATGACAACCAACATTGAGAGAAGTGATTGCTACATACAGCCCATTGTATTTACTAGTGGGACAGAGCCCTTTCCTCCTTGATCCAAACAATATTCCTTAAGAAATGTTATTAATTTAAAAGCTGATGCTGTTTTGAAATCATGCTCCCTTATGAACTCTAGAGGAAGTTGAACCATAAGTGCAACATACACACTTGGGACCTAGGGCTTACCATCTACATAGTGATGTATTAATGGTCCCATTTTGATAAATTCTGAGTGTCAACCTGATTGGGTTAAGAAACACCTAGGTATCAATGAGGCACACCTGTATGTGTGTCCATAATGGTATTTCTACAGAGGACTAACTGAGAAAGATTCCCTCAATGTGGTGGGTATCTACCCATAGACTAGGTTCTTACATTGTTAATAAAAAGGAGAAATTAGGAAAGCCAATGGATCACAAGCATCCATCTCTCTTGCTTCCTTATCTAAAGAGATGTGAGCAAGCAGCTGCCTCATGCTCCCTCCACTGTGGAGCTACAGCCACCACGCTTTCCAAGCCAGGATGGACTGTATCTCTTCAGACTGTGAGTCACCTCGGCTTCCTTCTTGGAGTTGCTGCTTGCCAGGCATTTGGTCATGGCAATGAGAAAAATGGCTAACACCATCTTGTAACATGACATCACTGTGTTGCTTCTGAAATTTACCACTAGGAATTACACACAATTTATTACAAATGCATTTCATGTTCTTTCTAGAAACATGTGGAAATCAAATAAAAAGGAGGAAATAAAACTTCATACAATCTCATCACTCAATTAAGAATTACCAATAACTGGATGATGTGTTTCTTTCAATTCTTTTCTATCTATATGCTAATTTTTCAAATGGATTTATATTAGTATTCCCTTTTACTGGCTGCCTTTTTTAACTTAACTAGAATAATGTGAGAATCATTCCATTTTAATAGCATTCCCATATTTTATTTTTGTGATGTTTATAATGATATGTATAATAAGTCTAGGTATCTGTTCAGTTAAGACTTTGCCTCTATTATTAATTATTTAATTACTGGCTTTTGGTACAAGAAAAATGTTCTACTCTCTTTGTGAGCTATGCACTATATCTGGGCTCACTGCCCCCAATCATTTTTTAAAACCGTGTGTGTTTAATATACTAGGAGTGAGAGAAGTGTAACTACTCCCACTGCACCCAGAGAGCCTGTTCTTATATATCTAAAAAGCTAGCCAACACGTTGAGGTGCCAGTTACCAGACAGTAAAGTAAGTCATTCAAACTCTCTTGATCATACTATTCAGTAAGAAACATATACAGGCCAAGTGGAGGGGATGGCTCAACAGACAAAAGCTCCCATGGAGCAAACATTCAGACTGGAGTTTACAACCCCACTACCCACATAGGAACCCAGCATGACTGCCTGAACACTTGTAGCCTCAGCACTGTGACAGGATTCACCCAGTGGGTGAATCGGTGAAGCTTGCTGACTATAGCTCCAGGTTCAGTGAGAGATCCTGCATCAGGGGAATAAGGCAGAGAGTGACAGGGTAGGACCCTGCTGTCTTCAACTCGATTCTGCATGATCACAAGTACATACATCCACATATCCACATCAGTCTCCTCTGCCCTTCCCCCTACTCTCCAATGGTTTCATAAAGTATTCCTTCCTGATGCCTACAATACAATCTTGTATTCTACTCTGTTTTCTCATTCCATCCCATTCAATAGCACTCTATCTCATTCTTTTGTTCTTTTGATACTCTAGCCGTGATGCAATGCACCAAAGCACACAGAGGCTTGTGCCACTCCCAGCTTGCAGCCTGCTTCTGCTTCCCCTGTCTCCCAGGGAAACCTGAGTGTTTTGCAGCAGGACCTGTCACTCATCACTCTGTAGTACCACCTGCCCACCACTGATTTGCCCACAGAAGGATCCACACCTCACACTCTCAATCAAAATTCCGTGACTTATGAAGGCAATTAAAGCATGATGTTGACACACCTTTAATCCCAGCACTTGGGAAGCAGAGGCAGGTAGATCTCTGAGTTCAAGGCCAGTCTGGTCTACACAGTGTGTTCCAGTACATCCAAGGCTACATAATTATACCTCGTCATAAAAAAAAGAAAAAGTTAAGGCAGTTAGTAGCAAAGTTTTATGATATAAAACTTAATGCAACTCAAAACTATAACTCTTTTCTAAATTAAGTGAATTGAAATTTAATAAGAATATACACACTTATAAATACACCTGACCCATGTTAACTCCTCAGCAGTGAAAAGAACTGACTTAAATCCTATATCTTTAGTTTTAAACATTTACCTCTCAATTTTGAAAGTTTTCGAGCTCGAGACTCCCCAATAGAATTATTCTCATTAAATTGCTGATAAAGTCTTGAATATTGGAAGCTTCGGAACTTCTCAGCTTTGGTATAAATGACAAGATCAGATAAGGCCAGAGCTATTTTTAGCTTCCTGCTCTAAAAATAAAATGCAGTGATTTCACATTTTTACACTAATCATTCGAAAATTTCCTTTTCTAACAACAAAAATATGCTTTTAAAGAGATCATTTCAGGTTTTTCTTAAGCTTATTGACCCAAAAATTCTTTGGACTAAGTCAATGTGTTCGTTTTTTTATGGCCACAATATTTAATAACAATATGAACTAGACTGAAATTTTAATCTAGTTAATGTTTCCAGATTTGAGAATAGCAATTTTTGCTATTTTCTCATCTCCCAAAGATCTCAGCTTATTCTCATAGATTTTACAAATTTAAGAACTGTCATCATGAACGTATTCCCAGTTTACTGTGACATTTTGGGATAGTTTCTACTGTGTAGTTGATATTTGCTCTTCCACTGCAGTTCCCTCAGTCAATCCCCAGGTTTGTGAGATGGCATCCCTTTCTCGTGCTACATATTAATATTTAAATTAGTATGTAAATGATACATTTCTTCCTGACATCCTCGTAAGTAACTCAACTGTCTCCCACTCCGCCCTCCCCTTCTGGCTGCCTCCTGCTCTTCCTCTCCTCAGTTTTTATGTCATATAGATTCCATTATCTTCTCTTAGTCCCATCCCACTCCTTTATATAAATGTATATATATATATATATATATATGTCTTCATCCCTGTAGTAGTCCTCTTCCTACTTTTGTGTCTCATATATATATGTATGTATATATATATATATATATATCCATAAATGTGCATTGCTTGCCTGAGTCTGACTGATCCCCCTTAGTATAATGATCCCCAGCTCCAAGATGGTAGGTGTTGAGAAAAAATGAAGACCAAAGGAAAATAGGACATCTATATCATACCCCTGCAAGGCTCAGGGAACACTACAGAAGGGGAAGCAGAAAGATTATAGGAGCCAGAGGTCAGGGAATGTTGCTGAGAAATAGTGTTTTCTAGACACAACACAGCCACCACACTGATGAGCTCACAGGAGGTGCGGGTGCCTGCACAAGAACCGCACAGGCTCAAGCCAGCCAGAGCTCTACCAAGGAGTGGGAAGAGTCGCCTGAAGATCTGCGAGCAGCTGCGGAAGGAAAGTAGTTCTTCAGTAGTGTGGCTGCAGATAGGCTGCCCCACACCCACAAGCCTACAGATGGACATAAAAGATGAACGTACGGGCAGCATTAGCTGGCCTAAGAGGAGGAGAGGGAAGGAAGGGAAGCAGGAGGGGGGGGAGAAAGGGTGAAGGAAGGAGAAGGAAGGGATTGCTAAGTGGGAGGAAGGTGGGGGGGCGCAACGAAAGGGAGTACAAGGGAGACATAGAGGGGACAAGGCCTAGACACACTGTTTGCCTATGAAATACAAAAAAGAATACAAATTTAATAAGAGGATAAGAAATAGAAATGTTCATAAAACATCTGTAACTGAACAAATAGTGATAGATATTTCGGCTGATTTAAAAGATGAGATAGAATTTGATAAAGTAGAAGCTAAAAATAAACACATAGAATCCATCAAGCAGAGTTGGCTCTTTGAAAAAATAAGCAAGATCAGCAAACCTCTATCCAAACTAACTAATCAAGAGAGAGAGAGAAAGAGAGAGAGAGAGAGAGAGAGAGAGAGAGAGAGAGAGAGAGAGAGAGAGAATCAGAAGGAATAAAGTTGGAGACAAAGAGGATGCTACAACAGATCTGATGAGGTACAAGGGATCATTGGGAATACTTTGAAAACTTATTTTCCAAAGAAAAATCTAAAAGAAATGGACAGATTCCTAGATGCACATGTTTAAATACAAATCATTCTATGGGGTCTCCCAGTCCTAGCTGACCACCACGGCATTTCCAATCGGTGCAAGTGGGTAGATCATGGCAGTTATTCAAAAACAAAATGCTTCTCTCCTAAATAGTCACGCACTGTGTTTGAGCCTGTAAAGTATACAAAGCTGAATTTTTGCAATAATCATCCCCAGATACAGAGAAATTGGGAGCAAAGATGCACAAAGTTCTGGATGTCTGGTTTGACACACTATATCAAGCCATCCCTCAATCAAGATTCCTTCCTATGAACTGTTCATGCAAAGGGGGCAATCAGGTCTCATTTCCATTGGCCTAGCTGGAAAGTAGCATATAACACAATGCACGCATTTTCATGTAATAACACAAATGCCTATAATACTGTGTAGCATTAACATTGCTTCTGTTGCTTCTGTCTCTGCACACTTTCTACTCTGTACAATGCCCACTACATAAGAGCTCATCATAACTGTCTCCTCCAGCCAAAGCATTTTAAGAAAAGCTACCCCAGAGAGAGATCGGTTTCAAATGTTCTTACCCACTGTTAACTTCTTTCAAATAAGATTTTAAATTGGACTCAAGCCGTCATTAAGAGAACTAACTCCCTTACGTAAAATTATTTCAACTCTCCACCAAGAACCTTAGAAAACTTTGATAGCTTGTAAGAGTCTCGGGAAACCTGTTCTCACCTTTTTCTTGACAGCTGCTCCTGCTGTCAGCTTTGAGGGACCTGTCTCCTTTTCCTGCTGGATCCGTGACAAGAAGATGTCTCGTGTTTCTGGTTCCTTTAGTGACTCCTCATCATCATCTTCATACACATCTTCTTCCACCTCTAACACCTGGCCCTCTTTGTTAGTCCCCTGCCTCTGGCGGGTTTCCAGTAACGTCCCTATCTTCTTATTTTTTACTAATATCTTGAATTTTAGTGCCTATAAACACAGTTGGAAACAAGACATGTGTACAGGTAAGTCATCGCTGTACACTTGACAAGTACCCTGACATATGTACAATAAAAGGAAAGCGGGACTGAGCATGGGAACTCACCTACAGTAGCAAGGTAGGGCAGGGACCTCATTGTGTTTTAGACCACTATCCATGCTCATTAGAAACCAGTGGTATTACCATCCTGGCCATAATTCACCCTAAAAGAAGCCTGTGGGGACTTACTATAAATGATCTTTTTTATAATCTGGGAATTGCTACGATTTGGTAAGTGTGAGATAGGTTGGAAACTGCAGGTATGTACATTGAAATGTGTGTCACATTGCTGAAGTTAAAAGGTTGCAACTTCCGGCAGTAGATGCAATACTCTTAATCCAGCATTAAAAGCATCCAATGGGATCAGGTATTTAAAAATGCCCATCAGCCTGTCTGACATCTAATATGGATTGCATTCAAAATGTATAAAGTTTCTTCAGTTGAAACCCATGCAAGTTTCAATGACTTAGTATTTCCAGCCCATCAAATCACAGATGTGACAAAATTTACCAGCATCAGAGAGGGTCATTCACTGTGAATTCAAAGCCTTCTGGCACATTTCTCAACTGTCTCTACCCTTTCCAAAAATCCGTTAATGTATTTGAGTGCCTACCATAACACATTACTACTCAAATAAATGTTCTAAAGTAAAGTTTCCCCCTTAAGAGACCTTAGTCTCCCTCCCTCCCTCCCTTCATCCCTCCCTCCATCCCTCCCTCTCTCCTCCCTCCCTCAGCCTCACACCTTGATTCTTCTCTTTTCTAATACGGAGTTTACCAAAATGTATTCTGTGCCCACATGCCAAAGGTGCTATGAATGATGCTTGCTAAAGAGCCACATTTTAGGGATGTACTTCACAATTTAAGAAATCAAAATCTTAACTCATCGCTCATGACTAAAGTGTTCATTTCCTGTATCCAATCCTTCCTCATCACATCAAGTTTCCCCCCTTTCGGTTCTCCACTGGACACCTGAATCATGAATGAGGATACAGAGCTAATTGTTCTTCTACTCTTAAATCTGTTGTAGATTTTTTCATTCTTTTTATTGGTGGATAAATTCATAAAAGTGTATTTCATAGTGAAAGTGTAAAATTCAGCATGAACCTCCACAGCCTCAGAGTGGCTCACCTAACTGTGCAGCAGGTTGCAGAGATCTGTGGATTTTGGGTTAAAGTTTTAATAAAAGCTTTTAAATCTTAAATTGTGGGGTTGAAATAAGGCTAAGTCACCAAGTTCCCAGGTAATTATTCTCACATTGAAGACTGCGCCCTGCGAAAAAGGGACTTTATTCTCTTTTATTACTCATTGGCTCCTTAGAAACCACCCCCCTTACAGTAATGTGGAAGCTGAGACCACAAAGACGGTCACTGAGGAGAACGCAAGAAAAAGAAAATGCTTGCTAACAGTACAATATTCAGAGAGAATTGTGTAAAATTTCCCATGAATTGGATCACGGCTCTGAAGTTGCATCTGTGGTGATTTACGGCCAGCATTTTGTATAAATTCTTACAGTTTTTGTCAGCTGGGCCTACTTAGTCTCTCAGCATTCTTCATGGGTCATGATTTTTTTCATTCACCAATAAGTGTATGTTGTCTGTCTTAGTTCTATCATGTGAGCACAATAGTTTTTTTTAATTTTTGAATTTCTCACTCATTTAAATGACATGAGGAAAAATATTCAAATCTCACAAAATAAAGCTGAAGTCACATCAAAAATCAGGTATTGATTGTTAGAAAATACTATTGAGGAAAAAGAAAGTTCACTTACATTTTGTGGCATTGGGGTTTACGAGTCAGCCAAAGAAATCTAAGAGAAGTGAGTTTGAGAGAGTGGATCATACTGCATCCATGCCTGAAGCAATGTTGCAGCAGAAGTGAGCATTTTAAGGAAAGAATGGAGAAGTCCTGGGTCCTGTGTGTTGCTGGGGAAATGGGTCACATGTATCTTGAGACAGACCTGACGGGATCCATCAGCAGGAAGAATTGTGGTGACTTGAATGCACAGCTCTCTGGGGCAGGCGAAGAGGAGACAGACAGGGGGGGTCCTGGGGGCTGACTGGAAAAGGGGGAGTTTACTCCCTGTGTGTTGATATTTTGAGTATGGATTCAGTTTACAACCTGGATATTTCATCTCTTTCTTAACCTTTTGCCTATAAAATATATCAAATTCCTGGGGTTCTATATTAAAATGCCTTCAGAGTTTGGACTAATGGATGAAGTAAAGCACACCATCAAAAACTGTATTTTACATCGATCTCTGCTTTGGTTCTTTTCCTATTACTGTCCTTGACAAAAGTCACTTAAAGGAGGAAGGGTTTATCTCAGCTCAAAGTTCCACATTACAGTCCCTCATAGCAGGGAAGTCCCTGTGGTGGCAGGAGGTCGAGAGAACTGGTCATATTGCATGCAGTCGGCCCAGAGAGCAGGGATGCATGCATGCCAGTGCCCAGCCTTGTCAGTCAGACAGCACAGCTTCCATTAACAAGACAGCTCTTCCCACATTAGCCAATGCAAGCAAGGCAATCCCCCGAACATGGCAGGCAGGCCCAGAGTCCATCCTCCCAGGTGATTCTAGATTCTGTCAAGTTGACAATTAGCAAAAAGCCACCAGTTTCTATGAATGTCCTCTGTCTGCATGTTCTCTTCCTTCACCAGCACTCCTTAGGCAACACAGAGAGAAGCAGCTTCTCTGTTAAATGATTAAAACGGAGCCGGTCTCTAACCTACGTGAGAAGGTGACCACAATCTGTCTGTCAAATGACCAAAACCAAGAGTCTGTGCTGGTCTCTAACCTATGCAAGAAGGTGACCACAGTGTGCACTTTGTTTTTCATTTCTTTTTCCTTCATCTGAGCTTCTCAGACAAAGTTTTACCTCTGGAGACGGTAGTCTATCCGGAAACTCATCAAGCATGTCGGAGAGAAGGAAGTCTCCAAAGGTACTCTGCAGAATGTCAGCCATCACTTCCTGCTGGCCTGGGGAGCAGTGGTTCTCCAAAGACAACACTACCGGGTACTCAGATGTCTAGAGTAGGAACCATTGCTATGGTTACACATCAGAACTTTTAAACTGCCCTAATGCAATTCATCTAAACATTTTATCTCTAAAGGCATCTCCAACCGTCTTAGCAAAAATAAGCTTGCTTTAAAATGAAAATTATCTTTGCATCTGACGAAGTAAGGGCTTCAAAAACCTATGTAAAGAATATTATTCTTGTTTGCCTTTGAAGTAAGAGAAAAGCCTGAATCACCCATCAGTGGGGATTTATTTCAGTAAGTTATATCACATCCATAGAAAGAAATGACAAAGGTCCATTACCAAGAAGTTGAAAGCCAGGCTTGGAGGCTTAGGTCTGTAATCCCAATTAATCAGAAGGCTGAGGGGAGAAAGATCCCACAGTCAAGGCTAGCCTGAACTAAAGAGTCTAAGGACAGCCTTGGCAACTAAGTAAGACCTTGCTTTAAAATAAAAAGTAAGAATAAAGGTGTGGGTACAGACTTTTGGTAGAGCATTTGCCCAGTATGCAAAACACACCAGCTTCAATCTTCAGCGCTCAACCCTGGCCCCCAAAGTTCTGTGAAGCTGTATACACCACCACAGAAACTGCTGTAACATATTCTTATGGGAGAAAACTTGCCTAGAAGACCTTGGGTGTTGAAAGTCCCCCAAAGGTATGACAGGTATGCTTAATTAACAAAGTAATGGGTTTCATTAAAACACTATCATAGGTGTACATCGTTGTACATTGTACTTGGTCTATATTCACATACATTATATGTTACCATAACTGGGATTTCTTTTTAAATTTCATTTCCAGTTAGGTCACTTTTTAATAAAAATGTTATTAATTATTTACTTTTATTTGGATTTTTTCATTCTACATATTAACTAGCTCTCACAGTTGTTTGTGAAATGTTTGGCTTTTTTTACATTTATTATCATCACCTGAAAATAGAGAGAATGGTATTTCATCCTTCATAATTTTAATGTCTTTTATTTGTTTATTTCTGTTTTTATGCCTGTGTAGTGTGTGTGTGCGCACATGCATGTATATGCATGACACGTGTGCGTGTGCGTGTTCGTGGAGGTCAGAGGACATCTTGGAGAGTCTGTTGTCTTCTTCCGCCGTGTGGGTTCAAGGATCTAACAGTTTGTCAGGCTTGGTGACCCTCACCTTTACACACAGAGTCATCTCTCCAGCCCATCCTTTCATTTGTCTTGTCCAGTTGCTCATCTCTGTTCTTTGGAGTCTTGGTAAGTGTAGACTTTTGGATCCCTGTGAAGACTTTCAATTTTAAGACTGTATCTATTGCCTTGTAGCATTTAGTTAAATTAAACTAAGTGAGGGCTGTCATTCAAGGGTTAATAAAGAACGTTTTAGACAAATGGAGCACTGGGTACAAAAGATTTTAGATGAACCTGAAAAACAAAACCCGGAGTGAACGAGGGGCACAGCAGCAGGGGAACTCAGAGGTCACAGAAAACTGGTCACAGGGACAGGGCGAGGCAAGGGTGGAGTGTAGCCTTTGTTCTGAAAGTCTTTGGAAGTGGGACTGATGTGGCAAAGTCACTCTGATGCGCATGACGGGTGATAAATAAACACAACATTGTGGTTTCCGGTTTATGTTTACAGGGTAGGTGAAGCAGTCACAGGGGAACATTGTGTTTATTGAACCTGCGGGTTTCTTTTTTATGTACATGCTTATTAAGTAATTACTGATGAAGATTTACTTAAATCCTTTGATGATGCTACAGTTGCCACTCTTTATTTTTTATTATTATTATTTTTTGGGGGTTTTTCAAGACTGTAACAGCCCAGGCTATCCTGAAACTTACTCTGTAGACCAGGCTGGCCTCGAATTCACAAAGACCTGCCTGCCTCTGCCTCTCAAGTGCTGATATTAAAAGCATGCACACCATACCTGGCCCAACAGAAGCAATTCAAATGCAACAGAAAAGAAATCAATTATATTAAATTTTCAAAACAGACTATCTAAAGGTATGCAATTAGCCAGCCTAGAAAAATGGACCCAAGTATTACTCAAAACACCTTTAAATTTTTTTTAATTAGATTGCTAAATTCAGCCCAAATATGATTAAACTTGTAAAATAACCTTAGTTCTATGAAAAATTAGAACTTTGCATCTGTAACTAATGAACTAGTCCATTTAAACTCCAAAGTGCACATCAGAACAGCATTAGTTATTGCCATTGTAGTTACAAATGATGTCATCAATTAAGATGATAGATAGTTGACACGTTTTATTCTTGTCTTAAAAGTAAAATATTTGGGCATGGGTAAAATGTTGATTATTGTCTAGATCAGTATACCTCAAACTTTGGGTTCATGACACATAACAAAAATAAATAGATTTCTTAACATAACACACACAAGACTAATAAAGAAGTGGCATGGACACTCACTACCTACCACTTTGATAAATCTACCTCTAGCCACTAAGCACCACATGGATTTTGTTGCCTACCGTAGCTCACAATTTAAAATGTCACAGGTTTAAAGCGAGGACACACTATAGAGAACTCGGGAGCAGTAAACTCTAAATGACTGTGGCAGAGACATGCACCTACCAAGAAGGCATACTTGTGTATTGCTTGGATGACAGTTTTGAAGAGGAGCTTGCTGGTAAGAGTGTAACCATGGTACACAACGGGTTCATTTTGTGCTCCATCCCAGCAGTCGATTTCCAGACAGCGGCAGCCTTTCACAAGGGCACTGACCAAAGTTAAGCAAAGCAGTGTCATACGCAGACCATGAACAATGGGTAGAATAAGATCAACTACTCAGACTTTTAAAATAAACATATAGGACAGTTTGTAATGGAGAAACATTTTGAACCTTAGAAAATTGCAGCCTTAGAAAGTAGAAACCACTCTCTTTGTGTCACAGAGAGAGACCGGTTCTCCCACCGTTTGACTCTGCATTGATCTCTTTGCGAAGCTTGTATGTGCTGGGAGTGCGTGCTGCCTCTAGCTGTCTGCATTGATCTCTTTAGGAAGTTCATATGTGCTGGGGGGGAAGATGGCTGCCTCTAGCTACAGTTTCAAACCCCTTTGCCTCCAACCCAAACGGTACTGCTCATGGTGCTACTATTGCTGACTTTGTCACCTTTGCAATATACAAAGGCATCTGAAAATAATAAAATATATTAGTAAAATTGTATATTTCATCACACTGCGTTGGGGGGGGGGGGGGGTGAAATACATGGTGGGAAGGGGAAGGAGGAAAGAGAATCCATGGCTGCAGCAAGTGGAAAAGAGTAAGGTTGGCAACCCAGTGAACCTGTTCGACCTTCTCCTGCAAGGACAGTTGGAGCCCTATTCCAGCTATTCAAAGCAGGAAACCTGTATACCTGGTCATCTATGTTGCTTTGACTCACAATTTCTTTGGAGAAAATTTTGAGTGACCGTTTTAGAATGCACCAATTTCACAGCTCTCTCCAAACTGAGGAAAATACATTCCCACTTCCACTCAGGTCTAAAACTAATTTGATTTTCCATCTATCAAATGAATCGGCTTCTTGATCTACACATAAATTCTGTCTTGGGTTTTGAAGTCAGTTGTACCACTGGGTTTAAATGAATTTTCAGTGTTCTTCCTCCGAGAGTGACTGACACTTTAATAAACATATACCTTTATTCAAACCAAGGCAACTGGAGCAGATTGCATTGAGAGTTTTCACTGAGTTCATAATGGTGAATGTGCACAATGAGGGCTGTTGTTAGGTCTTCAGGGACAACCTCAGGCAGTCACTGTGAAATGGGTGGGCTTTTACCAGGGTTTACTATAACTTCCTGATTTAATTGTGAAAATTGTTTTACTGTGATGCGGATACAGCTCAGAGCAGGGTTCTTTTCTATGCTGCACAAAGCCTTAGCTCAATCCTCAAGTTTACAAAAGGTATGTTTAGGGAGTCATTCAAATGCGCATAATAGAAATAGGATGTTTATTTCACAGGTACACATGGTTGCTTAGAACTACATACACCTTCCTTCTTTTGATTTCCTGTGTTCAGGTTATGACTGGGGGACTAACATGCTAACACAAAGGCTAATACCACTGACGCAGTGCAAAGCTATGGTCCACTGCCAGAGGTTAGACTCTCACCGAGTCCACTGTTCATTATGCCCTGAGTTCCATGAGAGCGAGAAGCTGCATTCTCATAAAAAGCGGTCTGACAGAGAATCAGTGATTCATCAGGGCTCTGTGTTAATATGAGAACAGGACAGGAGCCCAGGTGCCTAAGAAGAAATGAGACAGAACTAACCCACGTCTTTGGAGGAGGCAAAGGTGCATAAAACCAGGCTGAGTTGAAGCACCAGTGCCCTAAAAGGTACTCATTCGTTCAGGAATGGGTTCAAGCAATTCACTTGCCTAAGTACAGAACTAACCTCTCCATGAAGAAAAGGCTGAAGGCTGACTTTTCCAGAATTATCTTACACTATCTGTTGTGTCTAGGTGGCCAGTTCTCAAGTGGAGGTGTACCGAGTCCCACAAGATTTTTTAATTTATATCTTTATTTATTTACTTTGGTTTTAATTTGAACAAGCATGGACAATTGTTTCTAGTTTTATGTTATTGTAGGATTCTATCTTCCCTATATGATATTTTCTTTAACATGGTCCAGTCTCATAGTTTTAAATATCACCTGTAAACTAACAGCTTCCGATTACATTTTTCCAGCTTGGAGGGCTTTTTTCTTTCTGAGCTACAAACTCACATTAAACCCAGCTGCCTATTTGACAAAGGCCTCAGGAAGCAGGTTGGTGTCACAAACTCAGTATGGAATCCCTAGAGCTCTTGACTTGGCCTCACACCCCAGGATGAACCTTCTGAGCAAGCATCAACACTTCAGTCAACAGTCTCTCTACAGGCGTGGCTGCTGGGCCAATCCGCGTGACTTCTCTTCCCCACTCAGACTGCTTTCCTCATCACCTGTTAGCCCTGGGTCTGCCTCCTCCAGTCATTTCAGCTTGTCACCACCGTGGCCACTCCCCTATGCCTTCATCATCTACCCAGCCTGCCGTGTCTCCCCTGTTCCTCCCGTGTCAAAGTGTGACACTGTCTCAAGGAAAATCTCCCTGATGACTCCGCCACCTTTCCATCATCAACAAGACCTTCATAAACTGACCCTTCTCCCCCTACCCAGCCACTTCATTTGCCGTACACTTGTGGCCAGATGTTTTTGCTAACTTCTAAGATTTGAACCTGCCAAGTACTTAAAATGTCTCCATTCTTCTGTGGCTCCCTCTTTACCCTCAGCCAGGACAATTGAGAAATCTTTTCTGACAATGTAAAGTAACACTGTCAAGCCCTTATCACATTGTTTAATGTGCTTGGTTTATCTTTCTCATAAAACTCGTCAACCTCTGATAATATTCATTTACCTTTTCATCTGTTGATTCCCATTAATTTGTAGGAAAACAACAAGGTGTCTAAAAACTGTCATTCCCTGCTAGATTGATCTCTGCTGACTAAGCTGGACCCACTGTTAACAGCATGTCTTATAGGATATAAAGTTGGAGGTATGAAATTACCTGCTTTAATCTATGTAAATTACTTAACACATTGATCCAGAAAAATCACTATCTAGAACACCAAACCACACAACTTACTATATTTATGAACTAGCTTTTCTTAGAACATTGTGTCCTGGTGTCTAAGAATTGATACTATGTTTGTTAAAATCCAGTATACTCCAAATAAACATAACAGTAATATTTTCCTACAAGAAATGTACAAATTGGTCAAGAAACTTCAGAGAACTTGGACCCATGGAGCAGAGGTCAATGGGAAGGACCAGAGGAGAAACCTGTGGTGCTAACATACACACTATGTTGTATTTCCATTTCATCCAAAGGATCGACCGTCAATGTAGGAACAAACTACTGTGTCTTGTAAGTTTGATTTTGAGGCACAATCTACTTATTGCTCAGCACTCATACTGAGTTAGTACAGCAGGAGATTTATGTGTCAGAGACTTAAAAGTCAAAATAGCTGATAGGTAAGATATGGGGGAGAAGTAGAGGCAGGAGGATCACGGTTCAAGGACAGCCTGTGCTACACATTCTAGGGGCTGGAAGACAGCACAGAGGTTAAGAGCTCACATATGCCTCTTGCAGGGAACCTGAGTTTGACTCCTGGGTCTCACACCTGTTGGCTCACTCCAGCTCCCTCTTCTAGCCTCTTGGGCACCTACACTCATATTCACAGAACCACACATAAATACTTATCCATAAACTTAACTTAAAATGAAGATAAACTTTCTAAAGAATCAAAATAAAATACCTTACATATCCCCAAATGTCACTTGGTCCCACTAATTGATCAGATATCAAGTAGGTGTTGTGAGAAGATGAAATAAAATAATCATTTAATGGCTGATTCATGTCTTGATACACTGTTCTACACTTCTCTTTAAATACAAGACAATCTGGTGAAAACATATATCTTGAAAAACCTTCAAATGATATCTGGCCTTTATTTTTCACTGTAAAAAATAAGTAAAAAAGATGCAGATATACCATTAGTAATTTACAACTTTTATATCTTGTTTGTAAACCTAGTGGTAGAGCATATTTATAAAATATATATATTTAGAATTATTATTAATCCATTTCTAAATCTTTCTTGAGAAGTATATATGCATACACATACGTGCGTGCACGCGCGCACGTACACACACACACACACACACACACACACACACGGCTCAACTTTTAACTCGCTATAACTGAAGTTATATGCACTGAAGTTATAAACCTGTACTCTGGATCCAGAAAGCCAAGTTTTGAATGCATTTGCTTGTCATGTGACTGGAGGATGCTGGTTAATCTCACCCAGTCCATGAAAAGTAGCTAACAGAAGAGTTACCCCATGTAGAGCAATGCCCATTGCTATTGTGACTGTTTATTTGTATTTGGCTCAAAGAGAAAGTGAAAGTGTGTCTTCACTTTAGAGCCTGGGCCTCTCAATCTCACTATTGTCTGGTCCTTTTATGTCAGACTGGAGTCCAGGTCTTAGAAACCAAGTAAACTTCTAGGAATTAGTCCTGAAGTAGACAAAATTTAGACAGAAAGTGATGTGCACCCATACTAGCATTGACAGTGTTTGCAAAAGCAGAATAAATAGGAGGAAGGGGAGAAAATGAAAGCTCAGACTTCGGTACAGAGCTAGGTGGCCATTAAAACTGGTATAGCATGAGACAACAGTGATATAAGTCAGCCAATGTTTATGACAAAATGACAGCTTTCAAAACACCGTCACTCAAAGAAAATCAAGCCAAAAAAAAACCCTGCTGCTCCTATTTTATCCAAAAAACAAAAATCTAGAAGAAATCATAAAATTTTATAGACACACAAACTGTTTAAGAGTCATATAAATTCAAGGAAGATTCATAACAAAAGCATCACCCGACATAACAATAATAGTTTGCGTTAATTTATCTATTGGATTTGACTTGCAATCCTTCTGAACTACTAAACAATTAAATAAATGTTATTTAGCAACAGAGCAGAAAATGAGGGACTAGGAAGATGGCTCAGTTGGTAGTGTTTGCTGTTCAAGCACCAGAAATAAGACATGTCTTTAGTCCTAGCACTGTGGAGGCAGAGACTGGAGGATTCCTGGGGCATGATGGTCACAGCCCAGACAAATTAGTGACCTCCAGGTTGTGTGTGTGTGAGAGACCCTTCCTCAGAAAATACAGTGGAGAGCAATTGAGGAAGACACCCAACACCAGCCTCTGCACACACGTCTGCACACATGAACGCATACACATGCAGTGAAGAAGATATAGGAGAGAAAAAAAATCATGTTGCATCATTTAAAACCACTGGATGGAGAGCTCACAAGATGACTCAGTAGGCAAAAGTGCTTGATGGGCAAGCCTGGAGTTTCATACCTGGATCCCACCATAAAAGGAGAAAACCAACTCCTGAAAGCTGTCTTTCTCCACACACATGTTCCTCTCCTCTCCTCTCTCTCCTCTCTCTCTCTCTCTCTCTCTCTCTCTCTCTCTCTCTCTCTCTCTCTCTCTCTCTCTCTCTCTCTCTCTCTCTCTCTCACACACACACACACACACACACACAAGATACTTGACAAATACTTTCTAAAATTACAAATTATGATGAAAATCAATCTCAAGGATTTTTGGTACACATGCTGACATGAGATTGGGAAGCTTCGCAGCACTGAGGACTCTAAGAGCATTAATTATATTGGCTTTTGAGACTAAATTGATGGACAATTATACTGATAACGTAGAAGTCTTGACTTCATATGACAGCATCTATGATGGGCAGAAGTTCAAAAGATGAAGGAGAGAACAATGCAATGCCCCAATTAAAATGAAAGCATGACTTCAGTGCCAATCACTATCCTTTTGCATATTTAATTTGCTACCCAGAGATAAGAGCGACAGTGTGACTTTTTATTTTATAATGTTCACTAAGTCAATGCTACTAAAATGACCGTTTCTAAACAATGGCTACATAAAGAGCTTTAGCCAAACTATCCATCAACTCACAGCATCCTTGGGGAAAGCTTGCTATTAAAGGAAGGAACGGTCAGCTGAACTTTCCAGTTAGGGTTGGTGATACAGTGTTAGCTGCTTTACCTACTGGTGCAAGTTCTTTATGCTCTTTCAAAAGCAACAAAGGTCAATGGTGTTCAGGCCAAGCTGTGACTAGCACTGCACTTCATGTCAGCAAAGGGTGCAAGTCCTTCCAATGTGCATGACGCTGTCCTGAACTCTGGCCTATAAAGTCTTCTATGGTTTACCTATCACCTCCCCCTCACATCTCAAGCTCTAATCACCCTCATCAGGAAAGAATTCATTGTGCATAAAGGGATAACTGAAAAAGAAATGGAGGAAATATGGTATGTTTTCATTTAATTTTCACATGTCCATAGTTTCTTATTTAAACATATTTAAATAGCACAATGCTTAAAACAGCAGGCTACCTATAACATTTGTGTTTTACTTTTGTGTTCATCATACTCATGAGATTAAGACACCTTTAAGATATGTGTGTGTATGAATATATTACTTTCGACTATGTGTTTCTGTATGTGTGTGTACATGTACATGTGTTTGCACATGTATATGTGTGTACATGTACATGTGTTTGCACATGTGTATATGTGTACATGTACATGTGTTTGCACATGTGTATGTGTGTATACATGTACATGTGTTTGCACATGTGTATGTGTGTACATGTACATGTGTTTGCACATGTGTATGTGTGTACATGCACATGAGTTTGCACAAGTGTATGGGTGTGTACATGCACACGTGTTGACACATGTGTATGGGTGTGTACACATACATGAGTTTACATGTGTGTGTGTACATGTATATGAATTTGCATGTGTATGTGTGTACATGTACATGTGTTTGCACATGTGTGTACATGTACATGAGTTTGCACGTGTGTATGTGTGTGTACATGTACATGAGTTTGCACAAGTGTATGGGTGTGTACATGCACACATGTTTGCACATGTGTATGGTGTGTACATTTGTGCTGTGGTACAAATGTGAGAGCCTGAGACAACCGTGCACAGGTTCATTCTCTCCTCCCACTATGTGGGTTCTTGGGGTCAAACGTTGGTCACTAGGCTTGGCAGCAAGCTTCTTCAACAGCTGAAGCATCTTATTTGACCTTCAAGATACTTTTCTTTATAGGCACAGGTATCATCTTGTTTTCACAGTAGAAGATCTGAACTCTTAGAAATTCAGTTAAAAGAAGTGGTCTAACCAACAGAGTAGAGATGGATGTCATTATTGTACATTAGAGCTTAACAAATTTTATTTACATATATATACATATATATATATATATCCCATGACAAACAAAATCAAAATGTATGCTTCCTACAAGCTCAACAACCCCCAAAATTTTCATTTGATAAAAATCATAACTTACCAAAGCACTTTACATATGATAGGTTTTGACTGTGAACAGAGCTCACCTTCGTCAATAGGCTCATACTTCTGGATGATCTCAGTTGAAAGAGAATCATTTTCCTCCAGTTCATACTGCTCTCGTGTTAAAAACTCAGTCAGGCTTTTTTCAGAAAGAATCTTCCGGTTCTCAGAATATGTGTTGAAAATCTCAATAATTTCTTCTCTGTGTGCAATACTCCGATAAACAGCTCTAAATTCTTCTATGGTGATTTTCCCTTGTTTCTGTCTATCATTTTCCTACTAAAAAAAATGACTGGTGGGCTCACAGTGGAAGAATCGAAAAAGTACAAAGTAAATGTCATCATATTCACATACTATATGGTAATCCTTAGAAATTAAACACTATGTTGGATCCTTATTGAAGATAAAATGCATTAACCTGTGTGGAGTGATGCCAAAGTCAGGAAGAGGTTAGGAGCTGGCTAAGTGAGGAGAAGGTAGAAATGGGTGTGGGGGAAGATAAGGGTTTTAAGATGTTTTTCAATTATGTATTTCCTTTGTGTACTCCATTCCACTCCAGTTCCTTTCTAAATTCAGGTTGTGATTGTGTGCTTCTGATTCATAGCCTGGATCATACACGTCAGATACATGCAAGATCACGGTAGACTATAGCAACTGTGGTCATTAGGGAGCGCCTTGAAAAGAAGTCTCAGACCTATAGGGCCAAACAAGATGGGTTCTACCAAGTAAGGGTAGATTCATCTGGCAGTTATAGAAAATTTATATTTAAACTCTAGGAGATAAAGGACAAGGATTCCGGCTGGGCTCAGGCTTTTAAAGTAACAAAAGCACTATGAGGTCCTGCATCAGAAAATTGCCTGACCAAAGTAGAGATCAGAAAAACGAGCTGGAAATCAGTCCAGCTTGAGGGCATTCACATACACGTATGAGGCTATGAATTTGATTCCCAGCACCACACAAATTTGACGTAGTGGTGCATCTCCATAACGGCGGCACATGCATGTGAGAGCAGGAGGGTCAGAAGTTGAAGGTCATGCTTCACTACGTAGCAACTTCAAGGCCAGATCGGATGACATGAGACTCTGCCTCACAATGCTAATTAAAATAAAATAAAGAAGGGGAGGTGGTCTGGTTAATTGTTTATTAACAATTGGAAGGCATGGAAAACCTCAGAAAATGCAGCTCAAGCAGGAAATAGTGGGCACACGATGAAAACAGTTATCAGCAAAACACTGGAAGAATACGGAAAGACTTGAGCTTGCAAAGATTGTAATCTTAGGAACAGAATTATCAGACTGCAAGCAAATGAAAGAAAACCTTCTTAGGTAACAGAAAATTCACCTGAGTAGTTGTGATTCCAAAGAGGATTTTCTTAGAAAGTGTATTGGCACCCTCATTACCCTGTGAACACCTTGAATACAAAGAACCCCAGGTTGGAGGGCCATCAGGTTGAGGTAAATGTTTACAGGGATGACAGTGGCTTTCAATCCCCAAAGTGGGGTGGTAGTCTGGACATACAAAGTACACTCTCTCTCTCTCTGGCTTTCCCATTCTTATCTGAAAAACAGGAACAGATAGTCCCACCTATGCCATCAAACTGCCGTGGGAATTGGAAATATATGCCAAATGGTAAACTGAATAGAGGTGACTTGTCATGTATTATCTATGTCTGTTCCCTCACATCCTCCAGCCAAGCTGTGTCTCACCTTTTGAACTTTTTCCTGTGAATTATACAACATTGTAGAACTCCTGGGGTACATCAGGAGGAAGCACATGAAATTACAATAAACAAGCTCAAAAGTGTAAGTTTTGTCACTTGGTCAACTAACATGGCTCCAATTACCAGTTTTAAATTCTTGAGGTCCTTCACAGTGAATGTTGTAGAATTACAATAATTTTGTTATAGTTCCCAAGCCACTCAGTTCCTCACTGAAAATCTTAATTGAAAGTCAGTTAAACTCAAAGTGGATCTGTAACTCAGATAGTTCTTGCCACACTTGATGTTATAAATCAAAATTCCTAGACTTCCCGAATAACAGTAGGAAATAACATGTGTGCTACCTACTGAGAAACATGAGTTTTGTTACATTCAACCTAGATACAAACATGGCCATCTTAAATATTCTCTGCTGACTTGATTTTAGGTGTGTGTTTTCCAAATAAGTAAAGCTGCCTTTTGCTATGATAAGAAGTTGGAGCAAAGACCAAATAAAACCTCACAAATCTACATAATTGTTCCAACTAATCAATACCAAAAGGTAATTGTGGCTCACAAATTAACCAAAAACCCAAAAACAAAAGCTACAAAAGATAATTCTGATGGTAGCATTGAATGGGGGCATAGCTAATGAAAACGGAAAAGGAACGCAGTTTGGAAGTAATGATCAGGAGAAACAGGAAGAAGATGACTGAAGCCTAAGGCTGAGACACAGAAGAGCTAAAACTTTTAGTATAGCTGTATTAGTATAGCCCCTGTAAATAAACTGTCCCCAGTCCCAACAATGTACACGTCTAATCCTTAAATCATACAGACATAAGTAGAAAGAACAACACATTCCATTGCTCAAACTAATAGCACATTAACACATATGCACAAATAAATTCCCTAAGAGGAAAATCTGATTGTTTCACCCATCCCCTAAATGACCTCTATTGCCCTTGTCTTCAAGACACCCTTACATGTATTATACATGTGTTGCCATAGGCCTCTGAAGATGGAGAGGCAGGCTCTGCATCCTTGTATGTCACACAGCAGGTGCCCTGAATCAGTCACTGTTTACATGGCATAGACACCATGATACCCCTGTGTGGTAGAAGCTGTTGTCTCAGTGTATGATGCCATCCTTTGTCTTCTTAACTGGCTGGAGTCTCCTGATGTGTACATCACTGTAGAATCGTCGCTATATCCCATATCTGTTCCCTGGAGGCATCAGACATCCATTTCCTAGATTTGCCTCAGTTAATGAGTTTGCGTCTTACATTCTTGTTATTTTGAAGAGTTCTTCACTGCAGGTATGCAGAATTATCATTCATGCAAAAGTTTTAGATTTACCATGGATTTCTATGAATTAACAGTAGGTTCGTACATTCATTTTTGTGTGCATCTGGGAACACACGTGTCGTGGTATACATGTAGAAATCAAAAGACAAGCCTCAACAGCGGATTCTTGTAGGACATAAAAGGGAACCCAGATTATCAGTCTTGGCGACAAGGGCCTTTATTCAGTGAGCCATCTCACCAGCCATCTACCAACACACAGACTAGTAACAAAGAGGGGAAAATAAAATGCTGGGCAGACAGGAGTGTGTGTAAACCTTGTTACAGTGGATCATGGAAGGCATATAAAGGATTCATCTGTCATCTACTCAAGAATGTAACGGAAGAGAATTATCAGTGAAGGAACAGAAAGATCAAAAGCCATAAAACGGAGGTCAGCTAGGCAGAGTGAAAGAGGCTACCTCTATCCAGCTTCTAATTCCCAGTCAATTCTGTATGGCTTCCATATTATTTATGCATTTGTTATTTTCCTAGTCAAAATCTTTATGGCTATCAACTGTCTACCAAAGGAAATTTAAATTCTGAGGTCCACCCTCTCAGAGCTCCACTATCAAGCCAGGTGTGGTGACTCATGCCTATACTATTAGCATTTGGGATGAAGAGGCAGGCCGATATAGAGTTCAAGTTCATGCTCAGCTGCACAAGAGTCTGAGGCTTGCCTGGGCCACATCAAACTCTGTCGAAGAGGAGAGGAGAGAGGGGGAGAAGGAAATGAATGTTAGAAAACATTCATTTAAAAACTCCGTGGTGGTGGAGTTAGTGGTGGCGGTAGCAGTGGTACACACCTTTAATCCCAGCACTCGGGAGTCAGAGGCAGTCAGATCTCCGGGAGTTCAAGGCCAGTGTGGTCTACACTAAGCTAGTTCCATGACAGCCAGGTTACATAGAGAAACCGTATCTCAAAAGAATAGAAAAAAAGGACTGAAGGAAGGAAGGAAGGAAGGAAGGAAGGAAGGAAGGAAGGAAGGAAGGAAGGAAGGAAAGAAGGAGGAAGACAGGGAAGGAGGGAGGGAGGGAGAGAAGAGGAAGGGAGGGGGAGGGGAGATGAGGAGACCTAAAGGGAAGAAAAGGAGGAGGGGATTGAAGGCAAGGAAAGAAAAGAGGATAAATAAAGGGAAGGGAAGGATGAGAAAAACAGAGACAAGAAAGAAAAACTTTTCACCTCTGGTCCTAAATCGCTTTTCTCCCCAACCCCCTCCAGATGTCCTCCAGGCACATGTGACTCCTTTTTATTCACCAAACCCTCCTGCTGTGCATTCTGTACACACAGAAGCTTCTTGTTCTTTGGTCTTTGAAGAAGGCCAGCTCCACATCCTCTAGTCTTCTTTGTCTCAAGTCCCAGGTCTTCTGAGACATTCATCACAGGAAGTTCAGTATTCCTTTCTCTCCTGAGAGATGGTGCCTCCCTCCTTCCCCACAGTGCAGACTTTCTAAGATACCGACATATTTATCAGTCGTTGCTAATTGCCTAGAGACTATGAAGACCTAAGCCCTGTGGTAACAAATTCTAGAAATTTAAAAGGATGCAATTTCATACTTGGCTCACAAGCATAGGTATAACCAAATACTAGATGTGTGTATGGAAGGTATATGCAATATTGCTTATAAAATATTATAATGCTATAAATTAAAGACCATTGTAAGACAAAGCAATAAATCTTACTATAAAGGTATAATAAAAAAAACTTTAATGGATTAATGCTCAAGCCATGACTCAATAATTTATCTTGTAGAAAGATCTTCAGAATACGTTGCCAAGATCATAAACTTATATGATTTTTACCCAAATTTATAATAAAAAGTCACCTTGTAAAAAATTAAATTTATGTCATAATCTATGTCAGTTTCTTAGGAAATCAATATATTTTGAATAGTTCCTAATGCAACTTCATTCACAGCTTACTAAGGCATATTCATAAATAATGTCTTTTTATGATTTAGAGCAATCCTCTGGCATTAATATCCCCCATTCACAGACTAAGAAATTTGTTTAGGAAAGGTTTTGGTTTGCAAAACCAGTAGCTAAGCCTAAAATCTCTATTGCTTGAGATACTGCCAGATTTTAGTCACTCAAGTCAGCTTTGTTTCATTAGATTTATTTCAACAAAAAGTGCACCCCTGTGAAAGGAAGATTTAGTAATTAGAGTTCAATGAGAGTTGGATGCCCTGAACTGGAGAGATGGCGCGATAGACAAAGCTCTTGATGAGCAAGGATGAG